TATGTCGTTGATCCTCCCTCTGCTTATGATTGCTAGCACGAAATATTGGAAAGTTGATATATTCTGGCGCTTACGTGCATTTTCAGCTAGCCTAAAAGGCAATTTAGATTATGGAGGCAATTAAATCACAGATTTTATGGGTCTGCGCGAGCACTCATTATTCACACGTCTTATTTAGAATGAGAACTCATAAAATTAGACTTACTTCGAAAGATAATATATGATATGAGCAAAACGAGCACTTTTGCTGGGCTGTACTTCGACCTGCGCTTTCCGAAAGGCATCAATTAAGCCACTAACTCCCTGACAGCTTGGATCTCTTCCCAATTTCTGCAATTTGTTTAGTGTTAAGCGGCCAAAGCAAAAAAACAAAATGTTGTCGAAGCATTACTGACAATTTTGGTTTTTTGGCAAATGCACAATGCTGTTACTTGACGTGTTATTGTAAATGGCGCTACTTTTAGGCTAAAACCGAGCACCCGGATCTGGCGGCACAGCCTCTTAGAATTTTTGGTTCTTTTTGACAGTTTTGCCTGCCAGAACAATTCTTAGAAGGCTGGTCGTGGATGATCTAACGTTCAGCAACTGTAGGAGGCTACCAGCAGCGTCTGGAGCACATACGAAGGTCCATCTTGTCTACTGATAAAAATGTTAAAATAAGTCGTCAGAATAATTTGCGTGAATGTTAAAGAATTGACAAAGTCTAACAAGACAAAATTGCTGGGATTCGCGAAACTGCGGCGGAATTCGCGCTCCAAATCCAAAAGCCAAATAGTTTTGCGAACTGAAAGTCGCCTTATTATTTTGCTGAATTTTGGCAATTTGTAACTGTTCTAAATAAAAAGTCTAAATTAATTAAGCGGCAAAGAAAGTGGAAGGGTGTTGTAAAATATTGTTGGTGTGATAGATAATAGCGCTTTTGTCAATCTACATGGAAAAACACTTTTATTTCATTTACTAACAAAATTTTTAGCAAAGAAACAACCAATCGTTCCCACTAAAAGAAAATAAAATTTATTATAAAAGTAAGAAAGCAAATGTTCTTCAAGTTAACCATCCCTACCGTAACCAAGTGATCTCAGTTTAGAAGTTCTGAATGAGAAATATGTGAGATGGCCTTTTCCTTTTTCTTTTTTTGAAAATTGTTTTTCCAACAAACATACAAAAAATTATATCGCCGAAACGGCTCGCAGAGAGATTCAATAACACATTCGACATCGTTTGAGTATGCGTCGTTTACGACTTCGGAGTCTTGTACCGAGAAATCCACCGCTACAGAAAACGTCAAATGGTATCTACAATATTCAAGATGAATATTCATTTGCTGAAATTATATGTATACATATATGTGTGTATATTTAATCACTTGGATGAAAGAAAGTTGTCTACTGATTCACGTGCGAGGAAAAACGCAGCGATGAAATATCATCTGATCAAGGTGTCGTTGCAAGTATTAATCTGTTAAAAGAGCAAATCTCAAGTATACACCTATGCAAAAATTGAGGGGAAGTTTATTTGCCCTGATGAGGACATACGCATTCTTCTAAAGTTTCCTAAACACAGATAATACATCTTCCACAGGATCAGCAAAATTCTTGACTCTTCTGCTGACTATTGTTTTTCAAAGAAATTAGGCAAGAACCTATGGTTTCTCTGTAAACAACTTTAATACGAGCTGGGTGCGCCAAAATAGCATAATCTGTCAAAAACGGGGTAATTTTTTTAAAAAAGCCAAAAGTACTCAGTGTGCAAAATTTAGAGGCTCAGTTAGAAACAGCATTTGAGGAAGGATGGTCAAACAGGCTGATGAATGGCATCAGTGAATATCTTTGCTTCTAAAGAAACGGCTTTTCCAATTACAGTAAGGATTTCTCTGCATTTGCTGCATACAGGTCTTCAGAAACATTATCTCAGCTGTATGTGGTTTAGGATTTCAGCACATCTCATTTATCTCGCAAAATCAAAACTGCAAAAAATGTTGCACGCTTCATTTGCAGCGGTTGACTAAAATTTGTGAACCGGAATATGTTGGCTAAGCATACAAACTTGCACCTGTTGCTAACTCCTTGTACTAGTATTTTCATACCTTCTAGAGATTTATCTACCATTAGGCAACATGCATACCCCACGCTTCGACCTCATTCTGCGAATTCATTGCTTCTTAAGGGAGGTTCGAACGAATCAAAAGATACCCAGCAGTGATGTAATCGAGAAAGGAATACACAGAAACCTCGCTGCATTTCACCACTTCAAATGCTGCAACATTTGCCATCTTTTTGCAGTTTGTTATTTCAGTTTGCAGCTGAAAGTTATTAGAATCAGCCCTGAGAGGCAAGTTCGCAAAGCCAGCAGTTCTGATAAAATGCATTAATGAAGAGAATTGGCTTGTTAATTTTTTTCAAATGGACTATCAGAATCTCGATGCAAGCCTCAGGAAGCTAGCAAGTTTGTGAAAGTAATCCACAGCAACTGCATGCTACAAATTATTCAATTCATTATGATAAGGCGCAATGTAAAACACCTACATAAAACGTATTTTGTTGTTCAGCACTGTTCAACAGCATATCCCAAGTTGTGATGAACTGCCCAATGACTAAGCACTTGGCGTGATCATCGCGGGAATAGCAAACGATTTCCAGGCCTCTTAAAATTGATCTGCGTTTAGTGGTCCACTTTGGGCCCATACCTAATCAATGTCCGATAGGCCTACGTGCCTATTTTTCCTGCTTTCAGTGTTCTTTAAAAAACGTTAATGCCAATCATTTTGTTTGAATGATTTCGAATTGTTCAGGTTCCAGCAAGAAAATAAAGGAATATTTTCCTCTCTGCTTCTCCACTTATAGTTTGTTAAATACTTCCTATAGTCTATCCTGATTTCTCTGAATAAGCCTTACTACAGCCCTATTCTGAAGAGCTAACTGTAACAGAAATTCACAAGAAAAAGCTATTTGCTTATTCACACATAGTATAATTCAAACTCTAAAAAACAGAAGCTTTGTTTCTATTGAACTTTTGGTAAGAATCAGTACTATCTGTGATTTGAAACAATCCAAATTTTTTTAAAATATTTGCAGTTTAAAACTAAGTCTATAATTGCCAGAGAAATTACAACAGTAGCGAACAAAATAACCTGTTTCCAGCATCCGCATTCATGGTTTTCAAGAGCTTGAAAGGCTTCCACAAAATTTTCTGCGCAAACAACTGGCATTCACTTTTGTACAGCAAAGCACGCTTGTCATTTTCTTCGATTTGATACATTTGGAAATAATACTGCAAATAAAGTAAGTTGCTTTTAGAAAAAAATCTCCTTCAGGAAGACAGTTTAGCTCATAAATAATGAAGTCAACGGGCAGAGATGGCACATTGACA